AAGTGGCGCTGGCTCCTACCCTGGGGGTCTTTAAGAGGAGGTTAGATGAACACCTTGCTGGGGTTGTTTGATGATCTACTCAGGTCCCTTCCGACCCTAGAAGCTATGAAACTATGAAACTGTTTGGAGTGTTGTATGGGATTTTTCCTTGCTATCCAAGATATTTTTTTTCTTTTATAATTATGACCTCCAACACAATAAAATTTCATGTTTCATGGAAATAATGAAACTTTCAACCAGTAGAGGGAGGCTTTTCAGGGCAAGAGGTATGACTTTCACACAAGTTGTACTTTGACTAGCTTTGCTCCTACAAGAAATCAGAACCACCCCATAGTTAAAAACAGAAATCATTTCTTGACCAGGCTTTCTGTTTAAAAATTTTTCAAAAAGTCACAGATACAAAAACAAACAATCTACATGCATGTACACCACACATACTAAAAACAGTTGCATCCTATGAAGTACGCCAGGTACTTTTCCTACAGACTGAAAGTAGGCAAGTGTGGGAGAGAGGAAATTAGATTTTGGATGAATTTAGGAAATGGCATACTGGATCAAACTTTTTGTTCATTTGGTGCAGGATCCTGTCTCCAACAGCAGCCAGCACTAGATATTTAAGAGGAACTTGCAAAAGACTCTGCATTAGGCAGATATATGTGATTAGTTTTCTCAGTAGAAGCAGGAAGCCAGCTAGAGAATCAGTGGGGCCCATTAGATGACCAAAATGTAAAAGGTACACTCAGGGAAGATAAGACCATAGCAAAAAAACTAAACAAATTCTTTGCTTTGGTATTTAGTACAGAAGAGACTGGGTGCTAGATCAATCATAGTTTCATAGTAGCTAGGGTCACAACGGACCTGAACAAATCATCTAGCCTGAACCCCTGCCACAGGCATGAATGAATGCTGGGTTCACAAGACCCCAGACAGGTGATCATCCAGCCTCCTCTTGAATTTTCCCAAGGTAGGGGCAAGGACCACTTCCCTGGGAAGTTGGTTCCAGATTTTGGCCACCCTAACTGTAAAATATTGCCTTCTGATCTCTAAATCCTTTCTAGTAGATGGGTCTGAAGAGTTGGACCACACTGAAGTGACAACAGAGGAAGTTTTGGAACAAATTGGTAAACTAAATACTAGTAAGTTGCCAAATGAAATTGCAGAATTGCTGGCAATAATATGTAATCTGTGGTTACAAATGGCATCTTTGCTAGAAGACTGGCAGGTTGCCAACATAACATCTATCTTCAAAAAGGGCTCCAGACGTGATCCTGGGAACTACAGACCAATGATTCTCACTTCCATCCCTGGCAAGTTGGTAGAAACTATAAAGAATAAAATCAACAGTCACATGGACAAATATGATCTGTTGGCGAAGACCTTATATGATTTTTTGTAAAGGGAAATCCTGCCTTACAAATCTACTGGAGTTCTTTGAAGGTGTTAACAAGTATGTGGACAAGGGGGATCCAGTTGACATAATGTATTTGGACTATCTTTAAGAAAGGAAATAAGTTTTTGTGTCGGATCTATAAAGGTAATGCCCTCCTTTCCACAGCAGGGAAAATCCTTGCTTGCACCCTCCTGAACTGTTTTCTGTCTCTTGCTGAAGTCCTGCCAGAATCGCAGTGTGGTTTCAGACCACCTGTGGGGCAATTGACGTGATCTTCGTTGCTTGCCAGGTCCAAGAGAAGTGTTGGGAACAACATCAGGACCTGTATGTGGCCTTCATTGATCTCACCAAGTCCTTTGATTCTATCAAGTGCAAAGCCTTGTGGAAAGTACTGGCCAGGTCTGGATATCTGGAAAAGTACGTCAAGGTTCTGAGGCTTCTCCATGACCAGATGGAGACCATTCTCTGTGGCAGATCAAAGACAGATCCATTTATTATCTGAACTGGGTTCAAGCAAGGATGTGTCATTGCCCCAATTCTGGTCTCCATTTGTTGGCAATCATCTTGGTTCCCATTATGCACCGCCTTGCTTCTGAAATTACATAAAATACTGAATGGATGGGGGGCTCTTCAATCTGGGACATTTTCTGCCTAAGACCAAATACTCAAAACAACCATCTTTGACCTTCAATATGCCAGTGACTTTTGCCATCCTTCTACACACTGAGGAAAACTACACTGGATCTTTTCAGAGAAGCCCACCAAACATTGGGCCTCTCTCTCAACATTAAGAAGACTGAAGTGCTCTCTTAGCTTTCACTGGGCATGAATATGACCCTCCTCCCTAGGTTACCACAGAGGGAAAGGCCCTGGAGGTAATTGAGCACTTCACCTACCTCAGTAGACACCTCTCTCAGAAAGTGAACATTGATGAGATTCAGCACAGGATCCAGTGTGCAAGTGCTTCTTTTGGGAAATTGCTTCACTGTATCTTTATTCATCACAATCTTTGGAAAGAAACCAGGATAAAAGTCTGCAATGCAGACATCATCCCTAGTCTTCTCTATGGATGTGAAACGTGGGTGACTTACCTTTCCAGGCTCTTGAGATGACAGTGGTATCACGTGATGCCTCCAGAAAATCCTCCACATCAAATGGGAAGACTGCTGCACAAATGCCAGCATCCTTGCTGAAGGCAAAGTTACCAACGTTGAGTTGGTGATCCTCAAGCACCAGCTTTACTGGGCTAGACATTGTGTGGATGCCTGACTCTTGACTCCCAAAACAAGTGTTCTGCTCTTAGGTTAGTAATGGCCTGAGATCTCACGGTGGCCAAAGGAAATGCTACAATGACATATTGAAGGCAAACCTTAAGAAAACGGATGCCAACATCAAGACTTGGGAGGAGCTGGCTGACTCTAGTGGTACTGCACCCTCAACCAAGCAGCTGCCCATTTAGAAGTAAAGCATCAGGCCTTTGAAGAAGAGAAAGAGCAGAGGAAGAAAATGGAGAGAAACCCAGGCCTACAGCCTCCCCTCCCCTGTGGAAAGACCTGCAACTTCTGTGGATGGGTCTGTGGCTCAAGGATTGCACTCTGAAGTTACCTCAAGATCTCTCAGTGATCCATGAGATGATCCTTGAATTGAAGGATTGCCAATGACAGAGCTGCAGAAAGATCTCACCAAGCAAAGTGAGTGGGCAAAAAAATGGCAGGTGAACTTCAGTGTCAAAAAGTGCAAGGTAATGCACCTAGGGAAGAATAATATGTACATAATGCTGGATTCTGAACTAGTTGTTACAATTCAGGAAAGAGAACTTAGTCATTGTAGATAACTTTTTAACCACATCAGCTCACTGTGCAATGGCGACCAAAAAGCCAATAATGTTGGGCATCATTAAGAAGAGAATTGAATACAAAATGGAGAACGCCATGCTGTTATACAAATCCATGATGCTCCCACATCTTGAATACTTTGTGTAGTGCGGTCTCTACATCTCAAAAAGGGTGTACTAGAATTAGAAACAGTACAGAGAATGGCAACCAAAATGATCAGGAGCCTGGAGCGGTTGCCATACGAGTTTGGAAAGGAAAAGCCTGAAGAGACGATGTGATAGAGATCTATAAAATCATGACGGATGTGGACCAAGTGAACATGGAACCGTTGTTCATCAAGTCCCAGAATACTAGAACTAGAGGGCACCCAGTGAAATTAATAGGTGACAGGCTTAAAACTAACAAGAGAAAGTACTTTCTTATGCAATACATAGTTAACTTGTGGAATTCATTGCCACAGGAGATTATGGCAAAAAGCAACTGGATAAATTAATGGATGATAGAGCTATTAACAGCTATTGAACAGAATAATTGGAGATGTTTCCTCTGGCATCTCTAAACAAGTAAAAATGGTAGATGGGTATTGAATAAGGGATAGATAACTCTAGAGATAACCGGTTCAGTGTCTTCCCTGGATAGCATCCACTTCCACCACTGACAGAGACGGGGTGCGATGGACCATTGGTATGACCCAGTATGGGACTTCTTATATTCTTATGTTAGATTTTTTTCCTGATCTTTAGTAGCTGTAGATGCATATAAACCCTAAAGCATGGGGTTCAATAGCTGGTTGAAAATTTGTTCTCATTAACTATTAACTGTGGATATTGTTGTTAGTTATATAAATATCCAGTCCCTTTGGTTGTTACTAAGCTTTTGCCTCGGTTACATCCAGTGGCAGTGAATTCCATAGTTAAATGAATCTTAGTGAAGCAGTTCCCCAGCTAGAGGTCATCATGACTCCCAAAAGGGCAGTTATGTCTGGTGTCACAAGTACAGAAAGTTTGTGAACCATTGGTTTAATGGGTTGGATTAATACAGGAAAAATTCCATTTGATATTAACAAGTTCTTTGACAGTTGGTTCAATGGCTATTAGTACTATTTATGTAATAAGGTGGTGAATTTAAATAAAAAAGGCCCCTTCAAGTCAACTTTGCTGTCTTGGTCTTTGACTTTGTGTAGGTTATTGTCTATGTTCATTTGCTTCTGTTCATATATCTGTTTCTTGACTTCTGTACTGTTTCCTCCATTCCATTCCTTTTTAAAACTCTCTTCTTTTATAGAACAGAGAGCCTAAAATTTGCATTTGTTTCTTCACTAGGGAGGGAGCCTTCCATCTCGAGTGATACCAGGACAGACTCCTCTACAGAGAGTTATCCCTATAAACAATCACACCACGAGTCTGTGGTTAGTCATTTTTCTTCGGATTCGCAGGGGACTGTTATCTACAATGTGGAGAATGATACAGCTTCTCAAAGCAGCAGGGATACAGGTAATAGATACTCTTGTACTTATGTAATCAGAGTTGCAAATGTGATGATTATAGTAGAGTTCAATTAAAATAAAAACACATTTTAAAAACAATCCACGGCAGAGAAATGGTGCTTATATTTAACCTGCTCTTCTGGTCTGTCTCGTCTCTTGATATTATACTTACTAGGTTGGGATATAACTTTATGGTTCAAAATTATGCCCAGCTAGGCAAATATATGGCTTGTGTGTCAGGTTTCATCTGCTCTTTATAATAGTGCCCACCATCCCCCAACTGCTCTTAGCCAGAAACCCACTTCCTCTTTCAAGTGCTAGGCCTCAGTACATGAGGTACCACAATTTTTTGCATGGTGCATCTATGCCAGGGTGGGCAAAATATGGCCTGTGGGCTGGACCCAGACCATCAAAGGATTTTGACCCACCTGCAGTGGGTCCCTCGGCCCCACCTGGCTCAGGTGCAGGGGCCAGCCAGAGCTGTGGTATCAGCAGCTGGTCTTGCTGCCCCCAGGTGTGGGGGGGTAGGTGTGTGCAGTAGGGCTGGGGCAGCACAGTGGCCAGACTTACTTCCCAGCAGTCCCTGCAGCGGCAGCTCCTTCTGTCTACCACTGCCAGTCTCCGCCACCAGACCTGACCCTGCTGCCCAGGCACCCTGGCCCATCCGTTCCACACCTGCCGGAGGTGGTAGGTGGAGCGAATGGGCAGGGTCTCTGTGGAGACTGGTTTGGGACCCGCAGGGCCAGGGTGCACTTGACTAGGTGGATAGGATGGGGTTGTGGGCAGGCAGGGAGTGGCTTCCAGGAGCAGGACAGGCAGGTGGGGCTGGGATCAGGATTGGGATCATGAGGTGATGACAGCACAGAGCTGGGGCCTGGGGCAGAGCCACAATCCACTGCCTGCGTGTCATTTCAATGGATGCCAGTTCTATGGGCAGGAGCGTGCAGGGAGTGGATCATGGCTTGGCCCTAGGCCCTGGCCCTGTGATCCCAATCCTGGCCCTACACATCTGACCTGGTCCCAGACACCACTTCTTGCTCACCTGTGGTCCCATCCCATCTGCCTGACCACAAGTGAGTCCCGGGTGGTCTCTATGGCTTGCTGGGCAGTGACAGTGCGGGGCCCAGGACAGAGCTGCAATCCACTCTGCACACCCCTGTCTCTGGAGCAGGTGGTGATTCTGCAGGCAGGGGCATGTGAGGAGAGGATTGCAGGTCTGCCACAGACCTTGGCCCCATGGTATCACCACTCAGTGATCCTAATTCCAGCCCTTCCAGCCCATCCTGCTCCTGGGTGCTGCTCCCTGTCTGCCCACAGCCCCCTCCTATTGGCCAAAAGCAGGACAGAACTGTTTAGGGAGTTTTGGTGAGCTGTTGCAGGGACAGGGAGAATACTGACCTGGCCTGTGACAGCTCACCAAAACTCCTTAAGTGGCCCTTCTGCCCAGATAAGTGGCCATCCCTGATCTATGCAAAATGCAGTTTTGAAATGGATGGGCAATTTGCATTTTGCAGATTCTGAATTGAAATAACTATCCTCATCTTTGAGGTGAGTTCTCACCTCTGGTACTTAGTTCATTTAAAATACATAGCAGTGGCCCTGAACATCATGTTCAGGCTGGGGAGGCATGGTGACTACCCACAGGTGGCAGTGTTGGCGGTGGGGGTGTAGTGGTGGTGAGCAGGGAGCTTCCACAGGCAGCCGCGGCAGCGTCAGGGCATGGGCTGATGAGTGCCACTGGAGGTGTCAGCGGTGTCAGCGTCGGGGTGGGGGTGGTGAGTGGCCACTGCTTGCAGGTGCCTATGGCAGCATCCAGAGCAGCTAATTTTGGGGGGGGTGCACTGCCAATTTCAGGGGGTACACATTCACCAGCATGCACCCCCTACTCGTTACCGATGGCAGTGGTACTTCCATTCGCTGGGAAGAGCATAGGATGGTTGTCTGCCTGCACTGTATTGCAAGTTGATAGGAACTTTGAGAAGGTGGAGCAGCTGTACGGTTGAGCAGTTTCAGAAAGGTTTGGCTGGAGAATTTGTAGTGGAGAGGAGATAAATTAGATGTTTGAGGGTTTAGATCCATCTTCTTGCCTAGGACCTAGCCAGCCGGTTCCCGACTACAGCACAGGCCTTTAAAATTTTCTGATAAAGAACTACATCTGTTAGTATGGGAACTTTCCATATATCAAGTGTGTGATTTGATAACAAGTATTATTAAAAAGTAGAAAGTATGTGCCTCTTGTAACAAAGCTATCTGTAATCAGCACGTTTCTTTGATATTATTTTATTTGGCAGGTTCTTGCCCTTCTGTTTGGAGTAATGTCTATGTATCCTTATATGGTCCCATATATATATATCATATGAAAAGTCATGTTGTAGATGCAGTTGGAAGCAGAATTGGAGCAAATATTTCTCACAGTAAAAAGCTGGAGAGGTGATTATTTTTTTTTAAAGATATTCTTTAGCACTCTTGTACCCCCTATCATTGGTTCAAGCATTCAGTAACTATGTTGAATGCTTTGGTTCTGGGCAATTTTTTTCAGTTTGAAAATATATATTGTTATATGTGATATGTAGCAATTAGAGTTTCAAGTATTTCTGGCAGGTGCTTTGGGCTCGGCTGTTCTATGAGCCCAGAGGCTGATCTAGTCTTCTGCCACTCTGGGAATCCACTGCAAGTGAGATGAATGTCCATATTCTAAGTGCTCTACTGATATTCCAGAGATCGCACTGGAGACCTGTCTCAACTTTTAATTCCCTTCTCTTTTACCCCATTCTGGGCTTTGTGGTTGCAAAGACACCTACAATGAATATCACTGTTTTGCTGTGAAGCTATATAATCCCTTGAGCATGAGGTACCATGTAAGTAAAATACCCAGCAGGAATTATATTTTCCATGTGTTTGTTTAAGTGCAGCACATCAGCAGAAAGGAATCTGAGTCATAGTTGACTCAAAGATGAATATGAGTTGACAATGTGATGAAATGACCAATAGAGCTAACTGCACTCTATCATGCATTAATATGTGCATCATGAACAGGTCTAGAGAAGTGATACCTCCCCTGTATGCAGTACTGGTAAGGCCACAGCTGGAATACTGCATTCAGTTTTGGGTGCCACACTTCAAGAAGGATGTGGATAGCCTTGAGAGGGTCCAGAGGAGGGCCACTCATATGATTAGAGGCCTGCAGGATAGGTCATATGAGGAGAGGTTGAGGGATAGTTCATATGAAGAGAAGGCTAAGAGGTGATTTGGTGGCCGTCTACAAATTTGTTTGTGGGGAGGGGTAGTGGTGCAAGGAATAGGAGATACTCTGTTTATCAAGGCGTCTCTTGGAGTAGCTAGAAACAACGGCCACAAACTGACAGAGAGCAGATTTAGACTAGAAATTAGGAAGAACTTCTTTACGGTAAGGGTTACCAGAATCTGGAATGGGCTTCCAAGTCAGGTGGTGCTTTCTCCTACCTTGAAGGTCTTTAAGAAGAGACTGGACAAACACCTGATGGGGTCATCTGACCCCAGCACTCTTTCCTGCCCAGGGCAGGGGGTTGGATTTGATGATCTGCTGAGGTCCCTTCCAACCCTGAAAATCTGTGAAATCTATTAAAAGAAATCCTATCTTGTTAATTTAGTGAATTCAGAAAAGTGCTAGATGGATGGCTGTGAAGACTGAAATTCTCTGTCTATTGTAACAGGGAGCCAGAGGCTCCTATTACTTGAAGGTATAGACAGCAGCAGGGCTATCCCCTGGTGGGGAGGGGAGACTGCGTGATATGAACTGGGTGCAGGGGAATAGGCTGCATGTGCCTAATGTAGGGTCAGCTGCCCAGCAGTAGTATAATAGGGCAGAGCCCTGCCCAGGGCTCTAGGGCAGTAGGGACACTGGTAAGGCAGCAAGGGTGGCAACAATAAGCTGCCCTGAAGGCAGCCTGGTTATCAGCAGGGATCAGGGGTTTCCGCAGTGGCATGAAACAAACTGTGTGATGCCATGGGGCCTCCAACGACAGGGGGCCCCAATATGCAGGACAAATCTGACAGATGACTGAGTTTAATAAGCATTGCAAGTTGCAAAGCGGTTCAGTCTCTGCATTGTGTGAACTGTGCTCTAAACACAGTTATTTGAAGTAGACTAGCAAAGAATTTGCTTCGCCATTTTTTCACTGTCTCAAATGTTCTTTTTCTTGGCTGGGTCCTGAGGGGGGGCCCTGAAAATGAAGCTGTGCACAGGGCCCCACTAACTCTAAATCCACCACTGGTTTTCTGTTTCCTGCAGAAAAATGGAGAAAACCATAGATTTTCTGTTCTTATCAGAGAAAACGTAGATTTTCTCTTTTAGCGGAGAAACCCATGGATTTCCTGCTTTTGCAAAGAGCTCTTGCAAGCTGGCAGAGTTCCAGACTGCAAGAACTGATTGCAAAATGGGCGGGAAAGCCCCAGCTCTGCCTGGTAGGGCTGTGGGTTTCATTTTGATGTCCATTTCGCCATTTTGAAGGAACAATGTTTTATTTTGTTGTTTCATTTTGTTTCAAAGCACTTTCCCTTTTCGTTTTGTCAAACTGTTTTGATTCATTTCGACGTTTTGCCCATAGGCTATAATGGGGAATCATGAAAATGCCTAAAACACTGTCATTTGTTGCCTAATTTGGATGCAAATTGCAGAGATAGTTGCCCCTTCTGGGGGCATGAAGCCTCCCAGGTTTCAAGGAGATAGGTGCAGAGGTTTCTTGGAAACTGCACCTCAAAGTCTTGAAAGCAAAATTTGCCAGCAGCAGCAGCCTCCTGTCATCGGGACACAGATTCAGGGGATTACACCCCCGGGAGGGCTGCAGAGCTGTGCTATGGGGCTGGTGCAGCTGATTGGAATGCAGCCAGGTAGCGAGAGGCAGGTAGAGCCGGTGCTGCACTCCAATCCGCTCCACCAACCCCACAGAGCGCAGCCCGGCAATAGGAGGCAGGGAGAGCCAGGGCTGTGCTCCCCGCCGGACTGAAGTATATGGGGCTGCGGAGCCA